TCAAATAAATGCTACATGATGATGCTGCATTTATTCAAGGGGGGGTGTTCATTAATATTTCTGCAACATCAAAAACTGCTGTAACAAAAACTGACTATTTTCGTACTTGACTCAACACCATCCAACATGTTGCAACAAATTACCATAAGGTGGCCAAATGTATGCAACATGTTGTGCACAATAGTGTTGCAAGATGTTGCATTGAATTGTTGAGTGCATTCGGCTGGGACTTAAGAGGGCCAAATGCACCTTTAACCCTTTAACTCCCAGGAGTGACCAAGACAGAATTTCTCCTTACAATATCATTACAGTATTAACCAGACAAGTGATGAGAATTAAGAAATATATCAAGTTGGGGATAATTAGTTGATCCAATTCTAAATTCTCTGACCTTCCATTATGAGAATTGTATGGTTGACAGTAAGGAGAATTACAAATTTGATCTGGTAGCTAAAGGGTTAAAACTATTAACCCTTTAACACCTAAGAATAACTCGCATCTAATTTCTCCCTACAATATCATCCCTAAGTCACACATGAAGGTCATGAGAATAAAGGAAATGATCACCAACTAAAGAAACTCTTGATTGTTAAACAAATTCTCCTTGTCAGTACCATAGGAAATGTATAGAGAACAGTATGGAGAATATGCATACTGATATTAGGTTGTAAAGGGTTAATAACATAGAGGGGTAAGTGCCTGATACTCACATGGTCTGATAACTTGGCAGAATTTTTATCCAGATCATACCTATAAAAACAAGACATTTTAACAATTTACTAAGCTGTAAAATCAACTTCTTTAAATATGTTTTCAAAATTTAGAGGAAACAAAGATTGTAGATAAAGAGTCTCTATAGATATAAAAGTTTCTTCCAATTAGTAAGTATATTCTTCAACTTACACTTCAAACCGTAACTTCTGCATTTCCTCAAAGAAATAGTGGATGGTAAATGTCTTGACAAAGTCTGGATTAAGTGTATTCATTATGTGCTCTGTTCTCCCAAACTGAAAGATAAGAAACAACTTATGTTAGAAAAAACAGTAAACAGCTGTCATATATAATATGATTTACATGTACCCTCCACTTCAAATTTCGATAGATTTTGATAATTTATCCAGCAAATAATCAGTTGCTAACATTGCAATTAATTCACTGTTATATATAATGCCTCTTTGCAATGAGGAATGTAAAAAAAGTACAAGGTGATCTGTCACTGAGGTCTGAGGAAATGCTAGAGGTTAGTCCACTATGGCAAGTGTCTAGTCCAGGGAGAGTTCCAAAATAAATAATCTCTTTATGAATGTTAAGGAAACCAGATCATGCTCCAATGGCATAGGCCACAAAGCTTAGGTGCAGTCTTATCATCACCCTTGGACAAGGACCCATAAAATCTAATGCAACTTATTACGTAACAAAAGCCAACTCCTGAAAATTGACATTTGATATAAACCCTTCAAAAGATTTACATGACACCTCTTTACCTCTCTCCATTCTTTACTTCCCATTCCTTGCGTGTACATCACAACCACTGTGAGAAAGACATGATGTAAAGTATTTCAACAAGTGGTATTTCACAATTATAATTTCCCAGCAGAAAAGACAATATCATTTCAATCTGTTTGTGCACCAAAGCTGTGGAATGGCCTACCATTACATCTAAAATATATCACTTATTTAAGCAATTTTAAATAAAAAAGTAATGCGATGATCTGAAGTTGAAGTGAGGTAACCATTTATTTCAACATTATCGATGATGAATTGTTTTTAATATTATTAATCATAAAGTTGCCTCTGTTTCCTCAGTTTTCTAATTATGAGGTCTTGAGATGTGTCGCTTGGAACTCCAAAACCCATTGCCAGTCAATGTTAAAGAATCCTCTTTCCATTTCCTATTTTCTGTTTTGTTTTCATCTTTCCTTTTTTCTAAGGAGGGGGGGCAGCAAAGCCAGGTGACAAAAATCTAATTTTAGTGACCATGTAATGATCTAAGGTCTACAAATGGTAACTATAAAGATTTGACCTTAGAGCCCTGAAAATCCCTTTATTTTGCAATCATATTAAAAAAATATAACCTACATTCTATAAGTTGTTGTTACTATTATATAGCTTTACTTAAAATCATGAAAATACACATTAAAACCAAAAACACTGAAATATAATGTAGTCATTTGAGGAAGAGATTTCAGCTATTAAAATTTCATCTCCACAGCAAGCTGGTGGTTTAACCATATTTTTGTCAGAGATTAACATTGCATTGCTTCAGTTTCCTATTAAAATTCAGCTGTGGTTCAATATAAAAGCAAACAATTGTTTATGTTATTCATCTGCATAGTGTTTTAATTTCTAGTTATGAAGAAAATTTGTTGGAAAATCATATTAAACCCTGGCATTCAAAAAGTTCAATTTATATATATAATTTTTGACGTGAACATTGAACATTTCCTCAATCAGCCCTTATCGAGTATACAGCGATGTTTGCATTTAAAAATGAATCAAACGACTCTAAGGTGAATTTTCCTTTCTTTTTGGTGGATTACAACTGGAACTCAGGAGAATGTAGATCAGACTAAATAATTGCACAATCGTTGTATATGTTGTGGTTCAGTTTTATCCTTGGTTCAAATTTTGCTTTCTTTTGTTTTTTGGGTATTGTAATGTATGATAATGAGTTTGAAACAAAGGAAAATCAAATTTGAACCAAGGATAAAATTGAACCACAACATATACATTCAATAGCACAGGGAACAGCTTTTTCATAAGTATGAAAATCGCAAACATATGAGAGATATTTTATATTTAATCTTAAAGTTATGTGGATCCTTGAGACTTCAAGAGAACACATTCAAACCTAATTAATCGATCTAAATCGTATTTTTGTTGTCGTTGGAGGATTAAAGCACCTGGGACACGAGAAAATCTACTCCAATCTAGTACAGATTTAAACGTGTTTTGGTAAAATTTCCGCACAACATGCATTCAGTTCTTGAATAGAGAAAACAATGACTAAAACAATACATTGCCATTGGGAAAACAGATTTGTTTTACAATAGTATGGGGCTGTGCGGAAATTTTACCCGTGTTTTTGACCTGAAATTCTGTTCAACGACATATGAGGGCAGTTTTACATGAATTCAATTTTTGTGGAATTGCAACAGAACGGATTGTTGTAAATATCAGAAAATGAATTCCAGGCACGTGATAATCATTCTACGATTATGAACTATTTCTTCACAAATACAACAAACTTACTTGGGTCCGACTTTGAAAAAACGTCCATATCAGCGAGATTCCTGAATAGAACAAAATAAAAACAATAAAAACTCGAAAATTTTCCAGGTGTTGTGAAAAAGGTTGACTTCGAATGCTCGTGCAGCAGAGCATGCAAGCTAACAATTCATGTTGTTTGGTGTCCGGTAAAAAGTTACTGAGCTTCTGTGAAGTTTTACCTGCAAGAAATATGCAGTTCAACTTGTGTTGCTGGCACAGAACTTCTGAATGAGCCAGCCTCTTCGGGAGAGACAACATCGTGGTATGCTGGAGGTGCCGAGGCCGCCATCTTAGTTGTTTAAAGGCGCGGTTACTGAAAAGCCTCTCGAACTAGACGCGGGTCAAGACGATCTGAAGAGTGCGGTATTCTAAAAAAACAATTTACCCCTCTCCTACAAATTCTTGAAAGGCAATGTTTCGAAAAAGTATTATTTAACTTGAGATTTTCTTATAGAGCTCCTGTTCAGGGAACTTTCGATCTCCCTTCGCGTGACCAGGTTACGTGACAAGACGCAAGGCACATAAAGTCAGTGTTTCAGTTTCGCACACCATCTAGCGGACAAACTGCGAAAAAACCAAAAAACAGAAATGGAAATGAATTGGAAACATGAAATATTCTGTCCAGAAAATTGAAAAAAATTTTGAACTCTTCATCAAAGCAGGCGCACCCAGTTTAGGATAAGAAGAAAAATTTAGCAAATACACGGTCGTGATCTATTTGCTAGTTAAGACAAATGACACCCGCTCTGCTTTTGTTTTACATATATTTTACTTTATCCGCTGATCAACTATCTATATCCTTGTACAATTATTCTACTTGGTAACAGTACTTTTACATCACCCAGTATTTTTACAGTTATTTTCCAAGTTTCAGTTTATAACAGATAATTATAGACATTCATTAATTATGCATCACGAGTTACTACGCACAGCTTTCAAACAAAAAAGCCTTTTTCTCCATCGCAGTGTTCATCAGTATTCATATTCTGTTTCATTCTGTTAATAAAATAATTAATAAAATCTGATTTCCTACAGATATATCATGAGAATTATGCCAACTTGAGAAAACAAATGATGAAACATTTAAAGTTTACAGTCTGCGGTGAGATTGGTTAAAAATTATTATCATCATTATATACTTAATAATCTATTTTAAAAAAAAATAAGTCTTCTCTAGGCGACCAGCAATCCTCTGGTTCTGAATTCAAAATACACTAATTTTAATGAATTCATACAACAATTTTCATTGAAAAAGAAAAGATTTATCAAAGTCTGAGGGGGGGGACGGAGTGTTTTAGTTGTGTCAGAAGGAAATTCGCCTGATCTTCCCATGCGGCGCTGTAGTATTCTACTGACCCCTCCCCCCCCCCCCCCCCCCCCTCATTGGCAGTCAATTTTCTATATCCTCCCCTTTCAGCGATGGCTGATCCCCTCCCTGTTCTATCCTAAAAGCTTTGTCCGCCGAACCCCCACCCCTCCTCCCATAGGCAGTGAACGATAGTAGTGACTGTTCCATAGTGTTTTTAAACAATATTGACAATTTTTTTTTTTTTAAATCAACTTAAAGATATTGGTAAAATGAACTTGAAATAATGTTTTATTCTGCTTAAATTTTCGAGCTTTTTTTTCCTTCCCAGTACCTTCGGGAAGCCCTTATGCTAATTTATGCGATTTTTCCCGGAAGAGAAATCTGAGCATTTTCGTTTTCTCGGAAAGTTTTAAAAGGAATTTGATCGATTTCCTTTAAAATTTGTAACATCGATTCCTCTCCAAGCTTTGATCCAAGACACTATGTGAAAGTTGGACTGGTGTAAGGACTGTCGAGATGTCTGGGAGAAACTGGCGCGGTGTTTAAGCAAGACAAAAAGTTGCGAGCAAATTCAAGGTAGGATTTGCACATGCTTGGTGAAATACACTCGGTATTTCTCGGCGTTCTTAAATCATTAAGCAGTTAGTTGTTGTTAGCAACAAAGTTGATTTCGATTTCTTGTCCAATCTGCAAGTGGAAGCTAAGTATATCAGTAATACAGTAGATTTTAATCCGGGGAAATTTTCTTAGAGTTGGGGAATATTAACGCGATCAAGAGAGTTTTGCCTCGGAGGAAACGATCGATAGCGTAATAGCTTGCTTAGACACAAACAAAGCAAAATGGGCCACGTAAACCCAATACTGAACAGGGATGCCTAAGGGTGGATGAAAATAGTTAAAAAGAACGATTTGAAACTTTATGGATAAATTTATAAACTTTTCCAGGAGCAAAAACCGTAACCAACAGAGATTATGCGGATTTAGAGTTTCATATTAATGCATGCACGAGCACTGTAACTCACTTTCCCACCGGAACACATCGATAACTTTAATAAACGAAAACGTGATCAGGCACAGTTATAAGCAACCGAGTCGATCAGAGATTCGTTTCTATAACGACCCAGTATAGCAAAACATTCGGTTCCTTAAAAGCTGAATATTATTTACAGCATTTGCATTGTCGATCGAAAACTTGATGGTGTTGAGTTTCATATAATGAATATCGGAATAACATATATCAGAAAGTAAGACAAAATTAAATGGTTTTCGAGCAAAGACTTGTTTTACTCTTCCCGAGAATTAGACTTGAAAATACGCCGAGCTAACATACGCTATGTGGTCAGTCGGTCAGGGGTGACCGGCAGTCCTGACATTTTTTTAAATTTGACGAATCGAAGAAACTTAGCTAATACAAATTATCAAATTTTGAATAAGAAGTGACAAGCGGTCCTCCCGTTTGCGGTTTTCAAAACAATACATTTCTTAGCATAGTGTTGTAAATAGTGATATCTAGATGTTTTGAATTCGTTTTTGTGTATATTTTTAACTGCAGACGATAGATGTTTTTGTGATTAATATTCATTCTTTGGATTATTCTTAGTTATTTTATAGAGCGATTGACATTAATACTTTTTGCTACTCTTAGCTATTTTATGATTACTCGGTTGATATTTCAGCTCAGAGGGCCACTAGTTTATCAGTTATAATGTCATGTGTTAGCTTCTCTAAATAAAGTCGTTACTTAATTAATTACTTACTTACTTACATGACCTACACTTAAAGTAAATTTGACGAATCGAAGGAAGCCAGCCAATTAACGAATTTCAATCAGGAATAAATAATAAACGATTCAGCAAAGCTTTATAGCTCTCAGGTAAAATTAAGCTTGGAGACAGGTATGAGGTATGCAGCTGATGCAAGATATGAAACGTGAAGCTTACGTAAGGAGAATATTTTTTAGCAGAGCTCGACCTTCGTCTCTCTAGTCGTACCAACCCTCTCATAAACTCAATAAACAACTTGTTGGCTCTTTTGTTAGGACCTTTTTTCTCATTCATATGACCTTTTTGAAAGACAGCTCTACTTGATAAAATATTCTAACAAAAATATTTCAATTTTGTCCTAGAGTTTGCTTCAGGAAGGGAGCATGGTATTTCTTATTTTTTCCAATTTTGGTCATTTCAAAATTAATTTTTGTATTTATCTTCGATCTCGATATCCTTTGCGATCTTCATCGTAAACACGCCTTCTTGAAAATCGGTTTCTGCTCAGTTTCAGGTATTAAAAAATGTGCCTTGTCAATTTTTGGTTACCACTTGTCTTGTCGTTAGACTGGGGGGCGGGGGAATGGGGGGGGGGGTACTTCTCAGTGATAGTTTAATGGGGATGTGACACTGAATGGGGTCGCATTTTCATGACCGTATTGTATTGAATATAATAGGAACCCGGCAAAAATTGACGCAAGTACACCCCATCCCCCACCCACCCCTCTCCCAGGTGGTAGACCTCATTGACCTCAGTTTTGCCTTACTTTGTATTATCCTGGGATAAGGGATCAGTCATCCACCATCGCCTGAGAAATTGGGGGGGGGGAGTTGAGAGATTTTAGGAGGGATAACATGGTATTCAGGGGTAATGGGGAGAGTACAGTCGTCACCAACAGAGTGTGAAGAGGTGACCATAGAAAGTTGACCCCCAAGTACCTGCTAGTGACCGAACTCAAAAGAATGTAAGAGAGCCTTATGGGGGAGGGGGTCGGGTAAATTTTGTCATAATAAAACCAAACTCCTTTGGATCTTCCCCCCCCCCTCTCCCCAGCAATAAATAATGACTGGACTTTTAAAGCTAGCAGTAAGTCAAACTCATTTACAATTTTTGAAACTTTCGCAGAAATTTCTTTGACGTGTGCCACTTATTCAATGGCTTACAGGGGTTGCCTTACCCTGTACTGCGGTCACTGCAACACAGGGCTGGCTACCGTGGATATTTTAATGTTAGCTACAGTTCCTCCATCAGCGACGCATATGGCCATTAAGAAAGAGAAGGAAGAAGAAGCCTACAAAACACTTAGAAAGATTCCAAACCCTGACGCTAAAAAAGCCTCTTTTTCTCCTTACAAAATTCTTTGCAAACAGTGCAATGATTACGTGGGTACAGTCAGCATTGTACACGAAAACACCCTGATTTGTTTCAAGATTGAAAACGTATATTTCAAAAAGGGGTATGAGGAAATCAGAGGGAAAAGATTGAAGCACATTAAAGACAAACTTTTGCGGTATGGCCTTGAGGTTGTTAATATTTCTCAGCTACAACTTCCAGATGCTATTGAACAGAATGAAACTCCTTCAGAGCCGTTGATTTATTGCGATGTACAGAACGGCCTAACTACGGAGCAAGTCTTGTCTTTTACGAAGCAGATCCCGCGCGGATATCAACAAGAAATGTTTCTGAAAGCCTTGCGCGGAAACACGCTGGTCTACCTTCCCACGGGCTCGGGCAAGACTTTAATTGCAGCCATGGTGCTGAGCTGTATGAAGAAACTAAACCCAAACAAATTGATGGTGTTCTTGGTGGACCGCATACCACTTGTGTACCAACAGAGAGACTACATCAAGTCCCAAGTTCCAGATCTCAGAGTGGAGATATTAGCGGGAGATGTTGGACGTTTCCCGGGCGATAAGTCGCGTTGGATAGCCACCGTTCAGGCGCTGGCAGAGAATAAAATCGATCTCCTGGTTTTGACCCACCAGATTTTGTTAAACCTTATGGCCAGTGATCCTGTGGTGGTGCGCATGTCTGATATTTCTGTTCTCGTTTTCGACGAGGCCCATCATTGCCTTGGAAATCATTGCTACAATCAGGTCATGAGAGATTTCTACAGGGTCACAAGTAACAAGTTTAAGCCTCTAGTGCTGGCGCTGACTGCCTCTCCAGCAGGCGCCGATACACTCCAGGCTACGTCGAAAAAGTTGGAGGAACTTCTGTCGAACCTATCCGCATGTGGGCGCATGCCTTCTCGGTCTACAGACCTAGAGGTGTACTGGAACCGACCGGATACAGAATATCAGGTGGTTCCTCTTAACACCAAGCAAACAGTATTTGAATCAAACGTGGAGTTGTACCTCAACTCCTTGAAAGAGCTTATCGAATGTGAAGCCAAATGTCCGCGAGCGCTTGACAAGTTGCAAGTTCTAAAACACAACTACCGCGGTGCTTTGCGTAAGTTGATTGAACGTTGCTATGGTGACAAGAGCCGCGTAAAGGGCTTGGCGCTTGGGGAACATGCCATGCACATGCTCAGTGTGATTGAAGTGAACAACATCTTGGGGAACGAGTATGCTGTGGAGTGTCTTGAAGAGTGCATTAAACAGCTTCGAATGGCCACATCCCCTTTGGAACGGCTCAAGAAGAAGCTCGTTGGTTCCTTAAATGCGCTAAAGGTTCTAGAATCGTCGATCAAAGACCTCAGACGAGTTTCAAGCTTTTTCGCGTTCAGCGACAGGTATCAACACCTCACCAAGGAACTTGAAAATTTTATTCTTCGAGTTGAAAAAGACGAAACTTCCAGAGGGATCATTTTTGTCAAAATGAGGAGGACTGCCCACAAGCTCTGTGAACGGCTACGGAAAGAAACTGAAATTTGCGAAAAATTGAACCCAGCCTTCCTCGTCGGTCATGGGCGGGGAAGCGATGGAATGGACTGGAGAGGAGAACAAGAGGAAATCCTCAAGAAGTTACGATCTGGAGAAGTTAAATTACTTGTCAGCACGAGCGTTTTAGAGGAGGGACTGGACGTACCAGTGTGTAACCTGGTCATCCGCTTTGACAGCGCACTGACTGTACGGGGAATAGTGCAGAGTCGCGGGCGAGCATCTCGCAGACCCGACAGCCGGTTTGTCGTCATCTGCAGTGATTGCAAAGAGCAAACGAACGCGTTCGATGCTATCGAAATTGAAAACAACATGGAACGCGCAATGAGGTTGCAACAATATTTCACAGCACGATTACAGGCAGAGTCATTCGGTTGTGAGATGAAGAAACCAGACTTGAGCCAACGGTCACATCTAGTTGAACCGCCGAACATGGCATGCACAGAAGAGGAACCACAAGCTGAGGAAGAGGATGATGACGTGGAAAATGAATACAGTGTCGAAGCAATGACCATCCATGAACGAGGAGAAAGTCTCGCATCAGGAGGACCCAGAAAGAGAAGAAAGAAGCGTGTTCCAAATGTACGAATCGCTATTTTCAATGTTGTCACAGATAGAAACAACAACAAGGAAGTTAGCCAACTGACAGAATACTTCGAGAGATATTTTGATTTGAAGTCCTTGGCGCCAGAAACCTCTGAAGTTGTTAAAGATTCTGAGAGTTCAGCAGGCGAGGAGGAGAGCACTTCGGACCAAAGTCACTCAGTCATTCTTCGCCTACAGTTAGAGCCTTGTGAAGACCAAATTTTCCGCAAAAAAGAAAAATTCTTCACTCATATCGTTCAGTCGTGGTGTTCGCGTCCCAAAGCGTATCGATCTGAAACGGAGAAGCACTGGTTATATCGAGATGAGCCCTCACAGAGTCAAAAGTATTCCAAACAGGTGCTTGTCATCAAAGCAGAAGCCATCAATCTGGGGTACTTTTGGAATCGAGCGCATTTCTGTATTCACTGGCCTTTCAACTCCACCAGACGGATGGAAAACATTCGCGTTGCGTTTCAGCATGATCTGCGAACATTGTTGATCTGTTTTACAATGGCTAATCCATTCAGTAAATGGAAGGCAGATCTGTACAAGCTGCAAATACGTTACAGCGAACTGAGAGAATTTGTATTGGTGGACAAACGGAGCTCATCTTCGTCTCAAGAGGTAATAATCTCCCTGAGGCATCCTCCACGCATCTATAGAGCGAAGAATTTAATCAAGAAAGAGCAGGATGACGAAGAAAACGACTTTGAAGATTGGTACTTCGATGAGAACGACTACGACTTCGATTTTGATGACGATCGTGGCTTCTCCAGCGAGTACTCGAGCGATTCCGAAGATGATCAAACGACTTCCGGAGTCAACCGCAGTAGTGCCGAAAGTACTCAAGTGAAGTCCGAAGATGATACCGAAGCTCTTTTGACGAGTTCGGATCTCGCGCGAATTGACGACGTGGTGAATTGGGAGCGTGTTACAGAAATCGGAGACAGCGGGGAAGCTTTTGGTTTGTGCTTCGCCTACAACTTTACCTTTAAGGCGAGTGAATGGCAACATGTCAAAGAGGTACTTAAAAGCATTGCTAGATATGACAAGAAGTCGTTCTTTGTTTCTATGCGCAAATCTGTGAGACGATTACCAGAGGTGAACATTTCCAAGGAGTTACCTTTTGTCGTCAAATACGCCGCACAATGTGTTCTGAGTTCCTTCCCATTCGCCAGGGGTAGAATCACGACCAAGTTCGCCACTTTGCTTGGAAGCAAACCTGAAAAAACAACATTGTCTGCCTTGGAAAGACTTGGCACGGCTCTCCATCGGAATTTATTCTGCGATCCAGAGGCCCGACTCGAAGCCTTGCTGAACGAAACAAATTTGAATCTAGGGGGATTCCCAAAGCAACTGCTACCCGATCAGTGCGCCATGATAAAACGGATGGTGATTACACCCACAAGGCTCCTTTACTACACACCAGAGATCATGTCCAAAAATCGTGTCCTTCGCAATTACAACACAGACCAGTTTTTGTGTGTGAACTTTCGTGATGAAGACTTCTCGAGGCTCTCATCCGCAGCTGGAGCCATTGATAACATTTTAGAACGTTTGAGGCGGATCTTGGACAGCGGAGTGATCGCAGGCGGGGATAGATTCCTTTTTTTGGGATCTTCCAATAGTCAGTTGCGCAATCACGGCTGCTGGTTTGTTCGTCCCAGTCCTCAGCCAGAGGAGATAAGAAATTGGATGGGAGACTTTTCTAGAATAAGGTACTAAGATCGAAAAAATGTTTATGGACATGTGAGGTTTTGATGAACATCTAAAAACGATCGAAATCAGGAAAACCTGACTTAATGCCAAAGGGTTGGGGGGGAGGTTACCCGTAATGGAGCATTTAGATCTAAAAATAGCAGTGTTACTCCTAGTGAGAAGTTCGTGCATGCCATGGAAAACGGGGATCAATTTCAGTAGCTGCGCACCTGCCTTTCCCCTAACCCAGCATTGACCCTAACTTGTTACTGGTTGACTGTAGTTGTGCCAGGGGAGGGGTAGGTACACAGTTGCTTAGATACTAACATTGATCCGAAAACGGGATAGGCTATTGCGTGATAACTCACGTGGCGAGTGAGCGCCAATCATTTTCCTTTAAATTCTCAACAAGTTTCCCATCTATCCTTAGCTGTGTTGCCACATTCATGGCGCGAATGGGTCAGTGCTTTTCGACATCCATGGACGCAGTTGGTATCGACCTCAGTGAAGGGACCGATTGGGAAATGGATAACGACATTAAAACACTGGATGGTAGCTACTGCTTCTCCGATGGTGTGGGAAGAATTTCGGAATCTCTTGCTCGCCAGGTAAGGATGTGAACTCAGAGAACAGAATCACTATCAGTAGTTGCAGTGGTTGTTAGAGGTAAAAAGACTTGAAACTAATGCGGTCGCTTTAGGTATAGTTATTTCGATTTATAACAAGAATGTCAGAAATATCATTTTGAGAACCAGTGATTTCTGCTACTGTCATCATGTTTATGTAGACGAGAAGTCACTCCACTGTTTTGCGCACGCGTGTCGATCGCGAGTGAACTCATGTTGTGTAAGGCTGCACTAATCAACACTAAAGAATGACCATTACATAGTAATGGGCTCCTGCCTGAACCAACTTTACGCTTAACAGGGCCTTTTTCCTTGAGCTTGCCATCAATTGTGTGTTTTCTCAGCGTCATTAACATTGATTTAGTCTCTCCACGCTTGACAACCTTTGCACTTCTTCTCCTTGGCAGGTCGCCAAGAAGATAGCCAAGACCTTTTTGCCTTCCGCAATCCAAGTTCGCTTTGCTGGATGTAAAGGAGTTCTAACACTTGATCCCAGGCTTCCAGACAACATAGCGGTCTTCCGCCCGAGCATGCGCAAGTTTGAAAGCTCCCATCGACGGATTGAAGTGCTACAGACCTCTCGTCCCCAGGCCGTTTTCTTGAATCACCAGTTGATTATTCTTTTGTCGAATCTCGGTATCCCGGATGATGTATTCATGAAATTACAGCGTGATATGTTGGACCGATTGGCAGGTGAGAACGTAAATAATCGATCTGTTTCAATAGACGTCGCCATGTGTGAACGTGAGGAAATTTTGGGAAACTGGGTCGAACACAGCAGGTCGAGGCCGAAATCTGAATCATCATGAAGCATACTTAGTTTCTTTTGTGTTTTAACTTGCATTGTTTGGCTTTTCTTCCTGCTAAAAATGGTTCCTAATTGTGCAATGGGACTTAATTACAAAAGAAATGTTTGAACATTAAATATTTCGCTTTTTTATCTTTTTTTTTCTCCCAGAAGTTAATGATTAGCCTCGACTTTGTGTACTAGACCCAGTTTTCCTCTAATTCAGCACTTACCAAAGCAATTCTGCGGAGCCGAGGTAGCATCACCTCTGAAACTTGAGAAGCAAAGAACCTGGGAAAGACTTATTACCAGACTCTCTGTTCTAGCCTCTTTGTTGTGAGTAACCTGATTATATTTGATTTTAAGGAATGCTTGTAAACGAACAGCTGGCTTCTCAGCAGATGACTTCGGGGGCCAAAACTGGCATCGCTTACACGAGCCTGTCTCAAGCTGGAATACAACTGACTACTGAACCCTTTTTTAAGTCTTTGTTGGTAGCACTGTACAAAGAGCGAATGCAAAATCTGCTTAGTCGAGCCCGCATTCTCCTTCCACCAGCGGAGGCTCGACTTATGATAGGTGTCATGGATGAGACGGGGACCTTAAAGCCAGGCGAGGTTAGAAGATGAATAGTTTGATCTGTGATTATTTCCGCTGTTGTTACTTTTTGTTAATGTTCAGTGTAAATAAATTGTTTGTCGTAAGACCAAAACCATCCTAATTACAACGGCCATTCAGAAGAAAGTGAAATAAACCAACTATTTGAGGATAAGTTTTTCGTATAAGGGTGATTCGTTGAAGAATAGTTGGAACAGCCTTTCCCATGGATTCTGATCGACTGTTTCCTTTCGCGAATTCAAAATGAAAGTGCGTCATTATAACTTTTGAATGAGACACGGCATCCTAGAAAAGCGGCTTTAATGATATGATAGGTTTTTATTCTTATAATACTGTATTAATTATTAGTTCATTATTAATCAATTAATTAACGATGTTAATACGGTATCAATTATTAGTTAGTTTAGCCGGCAGAATTAAATATTTTGTACTCGTAGATTGTCCTGAAGGATTTTATCGTTGATAAACAAATTTATCTATCTATCTAGAGCTCATGGCAAAAACATACAAATTTATTGAAGCGCGAAAAAACGCGAGTGACCAAGTTATCTAAACCTATCACACTGCGAAGTAAAGCGAAACGAGTGTAGTCCCGAATCCCTTTCGATGCTCAATCGATTTTTTCCAATTTTTTTCTTTTTTGCCATTACTGCTTAAGTTACGTTTGTCTACGAACTCTAACATTTCTTCTCAAACTAATATCTCTCCAGGTATTTGCACAGTATTCAGCGACTTCCAATGACCCTGATCACGAAGGAGAATTCAGTAAATCAAAAAAGCATATCCTCAAAGGACCGGTAGTGATAACAAGAAATCCTTGTCTCCATCCCGGGGATGTCAGACAGCTGACCGCAGTATACGCGGCTCAACTCGTTCATTTGGTGGACTGTGTCGTGTTTCCTAATCATGGACCACGCCCTCATCCGAGTGAAATGGCAGGTATAATTAATGTTAATAATTATTTCTGATCCTTCAGTATTGATCACCAGGTTTCATCATAGGTAAAAGAGTGACGAAAAAAACTGGTCATTCACAATTTTTCTCCCTCTTGACTTACGCGCGACTCACCACCAATACCGCTGTCGCCATTGCGCATGAACAGAGCATGGAATGACGGTGTCTTCGTGTTTACAAATTTTCTCTTAGTATGCGCATGTGCGAGGAGATATCCAGTAGTGCACGCAAAGGATTTGGCTCAAACGGAACTTTAATTTTTTTGGTTGAATAATTAGTCTTAACCTCCATCCAGGGGTAGAATATGAAAACACATCAGGATTCAATCAAGTTCTTTTATAAGTCTACTGCTTTTCGGCGGCAGAGCAGTTAATGGTCGGGAATTAAACACTTGACGTGCGATTTTGTCTCATTGGCTACTCTTCGGTGAAAAGTTTCCGCTATTTACTTCAGAACTAACCAATCACCATGCGGGAAAAGCTCTTTTCACTTCTGGGTGTGTAGTTTATATTAATGTTCTTTATTAAGGCGCTCTTTCTCTGCTCTTTCTCTGAACTCTGTAAGCTCACGCTTTCATGCTTAACCTTTAATTCGCATGAGTGACCAAAGCCGGAATTCCTCATGACAATATCAATACAATATCAAGAGAAAAGTGACGAGAATAAATAACAATATTCATTAGGGGATTATCCGTTGATCTAATAACACATTCTCCGAACTAACATCATAAGAATTGTCTGGTAGACGGTGAGGAGAATTACTGTGGAAATCTTAGGGCTGAAAGCGTTAATGCCACCGGTAAGGATGTCTTCAAATTGTAATCATTACTTTCTTCTTGTCAGGTGGAGATCTCGATGGCGACCTGTACTTTGTCTGCTGGAATAAAGAGCTTTTGCCAAAGAGAAAACTTTTTCCACCGATGAATTACGAAGCACCCCCTAAAAAAATAGTCCACGGACCAATTCAAATACATCACATGACCGAATTTGTAGCCGAGTATATCCGGTTTGACCAGCTTGGTGTGATTGACAACGCACATAAAGCACATGCCGATTGTGACGAGGGAGGGGTCGAGTCGTCACTATGTCTTAAATTAGCTGAGCTTCATTCATTAGCAGTTGACGCTCCAAAGACGGGGAAATGGCCCGAAATGCCCAAAGAGGCGAAAGTCTTAAAGTTTCCTGATTTCATGATGAAATCCGACAAACCCAGCTACCCTTCAGACAAGGTTTTGGGAAAGCTTTATCGGGAGTGCAGAGCATTTAAAGACAGTATAGGGAGAGAGGTTCCACGAAAGAAACCACACATCGACTCCGCTTTATTAGTGCCCCATTTCCAGAGGTACCAAGACGAAGCAAAGGAGCTGTATGAGGAATACTCCAACCAGCTTCAAACGCTGATGAACCTCTACGGAATTGAGACAGAAGCCGAGCTGCTCTCGGGCTGTTTTCTTAAAGTACACTCTCGTCTTGGAAGAGAAAAAGTCGAGATTGCTGACCTAGTTGGGCAAATTCTCACTAAAATACGCGAAAGCTTTCGGAGAAGGTTCTTCAGAGAGTTCGAAGTGAACGAAGATATTCGAGGAGCCGAAGATGTTATTTCCGAAGAAATGCGAAGAAAGGCCTCGGCCTGGTATTACGTGGCGTACAGCAACAAGCAATCGACCGACGCAGCAGAAAATGTCCCGGATGGAACCCCTTCAAAGCAGTTCTTAAGCTTTCCGTGGCTGGTTGATGACGTTATGCTGTCAATCAGAACAGAAAGAGCATTTGAGGAACAGGAGTCTCCAAGCATCGTAGAGTCGATTAATGAAAGCGTTTTGAAGGTCTTTGAGAAAGACAGAAGAATTCTCTTGCCGTGTTTTGAAGAAAGACTTCAGAAAAAGAATCTAATTTCTAGAGAAATTCCTGGAATGAGTCTTGCTTTATTCGGTTCTTCAGCGACACTTCTCTTCAGAACAGATTCGGATCTTGATCTTTGTGCGCTAAACTCTGTGCGCATCGCGCGACGAAAAGGATTGGATCGAGAGGAACAGATCGCCTTATTGACGAAATTACACCCAATCATGAAGAAGCTGTTTAAGCATGCGCGTCTGGTGGAGTCCGCTAAGGTTCCGGTAAGTGCTGTCTTGAAGTTGAGGGAGGTGGATTATTTCTCTTAAATAATGCGTGTGCTGTGACCTCTGTCATCCTATAACTATATCGTTTATCTGAGGATCTAGCAAACTCATCTCGGAGTAGCGATACCTTGTATACATGCGGAAATTCTCGATACAATCATCATCAATGATTAAATTCTCGAGCACTCAATGAATTCACATATTCCACTTTTCTTTTTTTTTTTTGCTATGTTCCCTTTCTGCACCAAAACTTGGTATATAATCTACTAGAAGGAAAGAGGCTACCCTTCCATTCAAAAAAGGAGACAAAAAGATTGACCACAATGCTTGTTTACGTGAAAATGACATGGAAACTCAGTGGAAGACTCCGAGATGAGCGCTTTTTCAAGAATTTTTCCCTATGGCTAAGAGTTTTCTGCCAGATTCTCTCCCTGAAAATAACTGTATCTAATAACGCTGTCTGTATTTGATTTCAGGTGATTTCTTGCCAGAACCCGTCCAATTATGGGGGTCCCTTGGTTAAAGTAACAGGTGATCTCTCAGCCTCATGGGAAGGTCTCCTCAAAGCTATTGTGTTATCCAGCTACATAAGATCATACCCAGGTCTCTTGCCAGTTCTCCGTCTCCTCCTCAGTTGGGGTCATGTGACGGGGCTCGCAGGACATGGTGTTGAGGCAGGGATTAAGTCAAATGAGCTAACTTTCTTGTTGCTGATGTTCTGCGCTTCCAAGAATTTGGTGCAAAATTTCAACATGGAAAGTGTTTGGGAAAGGTGCTTACAGATTTCAACTGGACAAGTGAGCGACATAGTTCTTATCCAGGAGTGGCGAGATGTTCTTGCATCTTTACCGTCATTGGAATCCTCAGAAAACGAGGCCAGTGTTCCAATCACTCTCGGTGATGAAGAAATCGGTGAGATCCTGCTGACTTTTTTCCAAGCTTACAACTCCACCCTCGAAGCAGAAATTCCTCAACCATTTGCGTCACTATTAGGCGTGGCCAAACTATCAGAACTGCTGGACGCAGAACACTTGCGCCTGCTCAAGGAGCACATGCAACGCGCTTTTCATCTGTTGGCACTTTACGGTGACGTTGAAGTGCTTCTTACAATCAGTGCATCAGAAATCGACCGTGTTATTTTCTTGTCAGAGGAGCTGTCATATGCCATGGCGGGCTCAGAAAGGCATAACGCGTATGAGTTGTCGAAAAAGACTGGTGCGAGAGTAACAATTCGTCCCAGTCTCCCCGGATCAGGATTTGGTCTTGTTCTTCAAGCTATTGGTACTGAGTCTGCTGTGGCGTCAGTAGAGCGAGCACTGAATGCCATGGCAACGCAAGCCTTGCGTAATAGGGCTGCCATCATGTCAGTTTGCTTCGTTAAGGAAGCCAAACTCATGGTGATAGAAGGTTCTCTCAGTGACGATGACCGCATCACTTTGGTGCCGTACTACGGAAATCACCACCCCACCCATGATAGTCTGGCTTTGTACGTGCCCATGCTGATAAATCCGAGATCTGACCTTAGGCGTATAGGAGCCGCCTTTACCCGATATGAGTTCCAAAGCTTTAAGGAGAAGTTTCTCACTCAAGTTAAGGTATGAATTACGATGACTGTTACAGTGCTGTAGACGTTGCTCTGAAAGTTTTGAAGGCACTCGGGTTGATATCGGGAAACTTCGCAGATCTTCGTGCAGTGCTTTGGACACTGATCTGAAAGTTTTGAAGGCGCTCGGGTTGATATCGAGAGACTTTATAGATCTTCGTGCAGTGCTTTAGACAGTGATCTAAAAGTTTTGGGGGCTCGGGTTGATACCGGGAAACGACGGAGATCTCCGTACCAGAGACGAATCTTGTGAGCTTTACGAATGCATGATTCCACGAATAAAATATTTGCCATTGTTTTAAAAAACAAATTATAAAAAATTAGCATTATTTCCCTGAATGTTTTTGGGCCTTTCTTCATCTCATTTTCCATTACATCACCTTCTGTTGAACATTTGATTTTTGAACCTAAAGACCTTGATTCAAAGATTCAACACCAGTCATTGTTATTTGGCGGGATGTCGGGGGGGAGGGAAGTTGGAGGATTTTTGGGGGTTCACATGGTTTTCAGGGGCAACATAGGGGGAGATCAGTCGTTGCTAACAGAGTATAAAGGGGAAATATAGTAAATTGACTGCCAATTAACTGCCAATGGGGGAGGGGGAACGCATAAAATTATTCTAGAGCCCTATGGGGTTTCAGGTAATTTTTATCGTGACACAGAGAAAATTCTCTAAGCTCCCCTTCCCCTCGTAGGCTATGAATTAAGACTGTTCCCTTCACTTCCTTTTTTTTCCAATTTTTCCAGGTGATAGAGAGGGATTTTGTGCCTTCCATTCACGGTGAAATGGAGTTCGCCGTTCACTTCGGACGCATTTATGTTTTAAATATTCCGAAATCATTTACTGAGGACACAGAATCGCCAACTGTTAGTGTGTTCCAAACAAATCTGTCACGTGGTTACAAACCTCGACCCAGTGTGCTCTCCACCACTCCTAGAAATGACAAAAAGTACGTCAAGACTCTAAAAAGTCGAAAAGTTAAGAAGCGAAAGAACAACGAAGTCGGGGAGGATGGCAAAAAGGCACCAAACCGGAAACCCTCTCGAAGCTCATTCTTTACAATCGTTACATCGCATGAGAAAATCATGGGTTTTCTGATGCAGCGCGGGTTTTTAGAGGAAAAAAGCTCAGAGTCCTACCTGGTTGAAATACACACGGATCACGAATTCTGTGTTCTCACAGATGGAGCTTTTAATTTTCTCGAAATCATGTATCCCAAGCTGCGCTGGTGTGCGGTAGATGTGAAGAGGTCTTGGCGGGAAAATCCCGAAGATCATGACATCACTGATCTAGACGGAGTCGAGACTGATGTCCGTTTCTTATTACAGACCCGCCATGCACTGCGCTCAGAGGACATACGTGGAACTGCTTATGAACAGTACCGTGATACCTTGCAGCCTCAACATTCCGCACAGGCTTCCCGATGTCCTTATGTAGTTAAACCGGAAGTTTGGAAGGAGGTGGCCTTGATTCGACACAAAAAGTCCCGGATATACAAGCTGAGCGAAGACTTAGCAATGCAAAGCGAGTTTAGGAAAGCCCTTCGTATCAGTGTGAACGAGGTTACTGAGTATTCTCGACCCACAAAACACGTATCTGACTTCAGTAAAGTTATGACACGATGGGAAGTTGTCACCAAGGCTGGATTACCCAACAGTTGGAGTAATAGCGAAGCTGTGGAGAAGCTATTGAGGGATATCTGGGCCTTTGCTTTTACTTTGGCCTCGCATTTATCCGACTAAAAGAAAAGACACTGAACTGTTTTATCCTAAGTGACAGATTTTTTTTCTCTCCACAAGCTTGTGTAAGTTAGCTCGCTCCGCCATTCATAGCGAGTGTAAATAACGCGATAAAAGTCTCTCAGAGCTTGAGGTGCTAAAGCGAGAGAAACCCGCCACCCATTTGATAAGGCTGATCTTGATAACTGAGGACTTACTCTTTAGAACAATGGCAATTACTTTGAAATGCGATGCTAGCTTGACTTCAGAAGAATAGATTTGTGCGGCTCTACAAGTAGCTGTAATTTGTAGTGGGAAATTCAGCCAGAGGTTGTTTCCAAATCTCAAGAACGTGGAAGAAGTATTTCCCCTTAGCTATAGAGCTGTCGAGGTTTCCTTCCCCCGGCCTTTAATTCATGTAAAATCGAGTTTGACCCTTTACACTCTAACATCAGTATGCATATTCTCCATACTACTCTCTACACATTTCCTGGGTTACTGAGAAGGAGAATTTGTTAAACAATCAAGAGCATTTTAAGTGGTTGATTATATCCTTTCTTCCTGTGACAATAATTTGTGATTCAGGAACGATATTGGAAGGAGAAATTAGATGTTGGTCACTCTTAGGCATCAAAGGACTAAGTTCATATGACAACATTCCCTGTTTATTAATTTCCATGGGACAATAAAGCGATTCATTTCATTAGAAGTAAAACTCAAACGATGGTTAATCCCCCCCCCCGCCTTTTTGTCCCCAGAATTGTAATTAAACGCCTTGCGCCAATTCAAGGGATATACGTTTGTATGCCGGGACCCACTTGCAACCTCTGACAGGCTTTAGCACTTTAAATGGTCTCCATACTGTATTAGAATAAATCTTGCTGCAATCGGATTGGCTATGCCACTTGCTCTCTGTTCCGTTATAGATAGCGACTGAAGAGACCAACCAAATTACCCGCACATGGCGTGACCTATATATATGCGTTAGTGACCAAGCGTGAGGTCAAGATGGCTGGATATTGACCGAGTTCTCTTTCTGCGCTTTAAAAAAAGGGGAAGAAAAACAAGGCTAATATCTAGCCATTTTAAGCGAACAAGCTTGGCAAATAAAGGATTGATTAGATCGCAAAAAGATTTTGCTCTGATATGGATCAAGAATTACTTGTTTATTTCGAGAGTCGGAGAAGAAAGCCAACTGTGTTTATATGAATGAATGAATGAATGTGTATTTATATACCGCACATATCACACATTGTCTCAAGGCGGTTTACAATTCTAATTGAGTGATTATAGCACAATGAACCTACGAGAGTCGTTTATGTTTTCTTTGTTTTGACTGTCTTCTGCTGCTTTTGGGGACTCAAGCACTGACATTGTCCAAAAGTTAAGAACTTTAAGGGTCCACTCCACGAATTCTTTTTACTTGCGCGGGATTAATGCGGGCAATCCCGAGCGGGTAAGATGGGGCCATCTTGCCTGCTCGGGTAGCTAATGAGAACAAAGGATTCGTTTCATATCGCCTACGAGCGCCGCCGGTTTTATAATTAGCATCATTATTCAATAAAGATATGAATCTGTCTTGTTTTTAATGAATATCTTGTAGCTTTACACAAAAACAATAAGATAATCAGCTGTTGAATTCTGTGTGTGGATGTTGATTAAGGCTTCTTTCATATCAACTACAGCTCCAAAGTTAATTTTTAGATATATATTACGTGAAATTATTTTGGGATGTGGCTTGGTTTCCCAATAATGCGTAAACAGTTTTAAATGTTAGCTCAGTCAAATGTCAATAAAACAAATTGATTGAATTGTGAATTTTCATAGATCTTGAGATTTTTACTTATGGCTCGATGCACATGTGTTTACCCTAACTAACGGCGCCAGAAGTTTACTTAAGTGTCACATTAGAACGCTCCTTTGAGTTCCAGACAGAAACATAAATAATTTTCCTCGAATCGATCAGTCTGCGCAAAATTTGGTGATCTTGCATTGTTGTGCAAAGTTTTGAAACGTACGTTTGGAGCCATTGCTGTGAACGTAAGTTTTTTAGTTTCACCACGCTACTGTTTCCCTCCCACTCGTGGTTTGCTCCATTGTTTTAAACATTTTACGTCACGTCTTTTCTGCAGCCAATGAGAACACCCAAATAAGGTTAGCTGATGCAAGTATCTATTAAACCATGAGAAGGGAAAGTCCCTTTGAGCTATTTTTGAGAAAATGAAAGCAGGGAAAAATCCCATGTTGTGGAAACCGAAATATATATAAAGGCTTTTTGTGACGCTTTCAATTTCAGTAGAGAAGTTGAAAGCTTGCTATGCACTGGATTCGGTAGATATCAAAATGGTTTCAAGGGAATCCTTAGAAATCTGGAAGGATATCAGGAAACGTAAATCCGAAGAGCAAAAGCATCTTCTTCGATGGCAACTTCAAGCAAGGGAGCCGATCCGTCGACTCTCTGACATGAAACCAGGCGACCACCTCTTGAAGACAGTAAACCTATTAAATTTGGTTAAGTACGCGCACCATTTTCTCTGCAGCGGAATAGACGAGATAAGCGGAAAGCCAAAGATCATTCACTATTATAACACACCGGGAAATGCCATGAAGCAGTTGTTTCCGACCTCCCTCGGTTCCGGTTCATGTCTCGAACAGTTGGGGAAAATTCAGGAGGCGACTTTGCCCGACGGAGACTTGATCGCAAAGAATGATGTCGATTCAGAGACGGACCTGTTAAGAGTCGAAGTGGAAAGGGTTGTTTGGCCGGACGAACTGCGACAATACTCGACAGAAGAGGTGATTGCAAGAGCTCTTAGAAGGATGAACGAGAAGTACTACCATCTGACAAACAACAACTGTGAATCATTCGTTATGTGGTGTTTGTGTGACCTTAACATTAGCTTGCAGGTGACTAAAACGGGGAAAGCCCTTTCGGAGACATCAAGTGCCGCGATAAGAACACTTTGGCATGGGATTCAACAGCTACCGAAGGTGGGTGCCGAAATTTGGGACGACTTTGCAGCGGCTGCAGCTGGAAGAGCTGTGAGAAATGCCTTCTCGAAACTCGGAATCGGCATTGGGGTTGTATCGACCATGGTTATCGAAACCATTATGGCAATTGTGGACATTCGTAAGGAGTACGCGAAATGGAGAGGTGGAGTATTAATTAAAACAAGAAAGGAGTTCATCGCGGAAGTGGTTGACAAAGTGATATTGGCGCTTTTTCGTATCGGCGGAAGTATCGCTGGGACGATTGTAGGCCAAATTTTTATTCCTGTTCCAATCGTTGGTGGCCTCGTTGGAGCTCTACTCGGAATGTTTGGCGGTCATTTGGTTGGGAAATGGTTCTCAGCGCAAACAAAGGAAGCTTTTGGGCAGGCCATTGACGCACTCATAAATGAACTTGATGAAATGAAAGCAAAACTTAAAGCTCACTCACATAAATTCGAGCAAAACATGAAAAATATATACTGTTTCTCTCTAAAATGAAAGACGGTAAAGATACAGTCTTGTTCTTCACCTGACCAACGATAGATAAGCAGCTCAGCGCTGTGTGATACGAACTTAATACATAATATCGTCGCCCTAAGTTGGGATTCTTGACAGACTGCTTTCTCTTCAGCGTTATTCGTGGAGGTAGTTTAAAGACGTGAAATGATATGCTAAGGAACTAACAACAAATGCCAAAAACAGGCGTTTGAAAAAAAGAACAAGTGCTTGATTGTTCAACGAAAGAACGAGTGAAGGAACGAAAGGACTGACTGACTTGACAGAGGAACGGAAGTACGAACCGATCAAAACGCAAGTAGAAAACGCTGAGTAATATAAATTCAAATTCAGTTACTACATATAGTTGAGACATGTGATCTCTCTAAAAAGTTAGATTTCTATTAAAGTAGAATTTAATATATATTATAAACTATGTTATTGTTTAAAGTCAATAAAAGGAAAATTCTAGATTTAATTTTGTGTTAGGTTTTTATTCGTTTTTTTTTATTTTACATATTGACATATTTTTTTCTTTGATGCACTAATTCAGTCAACAAACGATTTTCTTCGTCTTCTTCTTCTTCTTCTTTGTGATAGCGAATGTAAAGGTATAAATAAATGATAGAATAAACATCTCATCAAATAATCGAAGCCTTGGTTATTATTTTACGGTTCAGAGCATTGCAACTTTCGGATTGAGGAGAGCGTTGCGTGACAAGCCGGACATGACTACGATGCGGAGCGTTACTTTGCTTATAGGTTGCAGCAGTTAACAAGTTGATAGAGGCTCAGGAACAACTTGAATTCAATGTGTACGACTTAAAAGTTTGTTATTTTCAGCGTTCATAGGTTTTTCTTCACGGAAACATCAATTTCCTCCGGTGTCTGCTTCGAATTGAAGAACAGTTTGCTTGTTTGCTTTTGCTGCACACAGAAATAGGAAACATCGAGGTCTTGTAAACTGTTTATTCAACGAGGAATAATTACCATTTGTCACTCGATTTTTTTTATTTGACTTAGAATACCTCCTTGGGTTCTGAGATCAGGGAAAACATAATTAAAAGAGCCTGTAAGATGTTAGTTTGTTGACTGGATTGAAAAGTTTTCAGTCATGATAGACTATTCCACCCCATTTCCGGCTCCAAAACTTCAGGAAGCATTTCCCTTAGGAGTATAAGACCCTAGACCCACGGGTAAGCTGTGATGTCACTTAAGTTCCATCCTCACAGACAAGCCAAGGGACGAGGTTGGCGGAGCATGACTCTCCGAGAACAAGAACTAAGGAAAGGGGAACTCTTTAAAAAAAACCATTCATTTAGCAATCCTGTTTTGGATAGCAAATGGCACAATTGATAGAAGATCGTCATCAATGAGCCACGTATGACAAATTAGGACCTATTTTTAGGATTATGCTAAAAAAAGTTGCTGCTTATGGCATCTCCAAGTTCACAACCTACCCACGGCATCCGGACTGTAAAAACAACGTATTTAGTACGCTAAATGGAAAAACTGGGTACCCGAGAAAAGATGTTACCCCATGCACTTCCGATGTGGGTCACAACGCTCCGCTTTTGTTGTATTCTCCACAGGGAATAACCACTATTGACTGCTTACCCCTATTAAGAATAAGACCTCTGAAATCACATCCCGTCTAGCAGTCCTCACCCGTTTAAGCCTAACGAGGGAGAGCCCTCCTCGCACTTTGCAAGACCAGACCAAAGAGTGAGTAACATCCTGCTAAACTACTTGGTCGTCACCATGCAAAATCAAATATTCATGCAGGACATTTGAAGTTTCAGGACCACCCAACTGACTGTAAGAGAATTACCTCATGAAACTTGTTTCTAGGAATGTTTTGGCTGAGAACCAAATGTGATGAGAACACGACAGCTGAGATACCAAGCTTTCATATTTACCCTCTAACTCCCAAGATCTGATTGTTAATTCTCCCCTCTAGCTGACACACATTTCTTTGTAAATAAGTTACGAGAATTTGGTATCAGATCGAGATAAGTTTGAATATTCTCATGAACTGTTTGCTGGATAATGTTTAGGATTCATAGGGAAAAGTTACTTGTTAATCACTCCTGGGAGCTAAAGGTTGATTTAAGGCTGAGTAGTTTGTTTTTATATGGGGGAAATCCTCAGGGGGTGGACTTGTAACAGGGCAACACCTCTAGTTTGGGTCTCAGAGGTAGAGACACAAGTG